ACATTTATTATACCGGATATACCATATAAGGTGTCTGAGGATTTTCCAATCAAACGTTGTTTGGCGTATTCTATGCAAGAAAATAAAAATCATCAACGTTCTTCTGACAGTTTTATTTTGTTTTCCAGGGACACACAAATTGTTGTTATCATTTTTATATTTATAAATGAATAATTTCTAAATTAAATTTGCATAAAAATCAGCGTGTACACATTTTCAATATTTAACGAATTTCCAAGTTCTTTTCACGATTGAATTTATATTTTATCTTATTTGAAACTTCTAAATGTAATACTTTCTTTGAAATTATTTATTCATATTAAAAATAAATTGCATCATTGTAAGGAAAATTAAAAGACCCTTTCAAATGATATGCAAATAAATTGTACTGCATTGAAAAATAAAATTAACCTGTCTCGGTGTTGTCTTTATGAAAGATAATTAGATGTCATAATAATTCAGATGGACTATTTTTACTTGGACATTTTTTATGTATAATACATTATAATAATACAGATATCAATTAAAAAACTATAATTGCTTGAAAAAGTCATTATTTTCTTCGCAATCCATTTTGTTATGAAAATTCGAAAATGATCTTTTCTGCATGTTTTTTCTAATTAATTTGAGAAGAAATACGACAGAATTACACTTTTTCTACATTTTATCCAATATTATACCATTTTCTTTTTCTTTTTAAACGATACCTAAGAAAAATTTAATCTTAAATAACGAAATAACCAAAAAGTCGTTCAAAGTATTCGCGAGTATTGTTTGTATTATTTTCATTGAATTTCAAATAAAACTAAACGGAATAATTAAGTAAACGTATGTACGATACCGGGAAAAAATTAATAAACATTTATTAGCTAAAAAAAATAAAAATAAAAAGAAACAATTTAAACGTAAGGAAGAGGTCATGTAAGTTCAATTTATATCGCGAAAGGTCTATTAACGTTATCCCGTGGTAATAATTTTACTCGCGTGTTCGAAAGTCATTGCACCGAGTGCATACTGCGAGTAGCCTCGTAGACGTAAGGGGGAAAATATCGGTGGTAACAGTGTTCCTAGAGATCCCCATGGGGAATCGTTAACATTGAAGAAACATAACACACAAGCACGAAAAGAAACGTGACAGGAAAACGAAAATAAGCAGGACAATATAATTTTTTCATCGGTTAAAACGAAAAGAGATACTTTCGTAAAAAATCTTTATTTAATATTTAAAAATAAAATTGAATAAGTACGATGAAAGAAATAAAAGGATTGAAGTTGTTTTCTTTTTGTTTTCTTATTAATGAAAAAGAGAAGAAAAAAAGAAGAAAGATGAGGATAGTGGCAAAGCGAAGACTGATATAAGGTTTTTTTTTGCTGAACGAGGGTTGTCTTTCAAGACTAGGGTCATCTATAACCCTGGGCATAGGTCGTCGATCGTTATCGACGTGTCGGTGTTGAATTTTTTAAACGTCGTATCAGGTTGACTGACCGACAACTACGAACTTTTCCAACGTCTTACATAAGTATATGTATACTTGTCTATTTAGATTTATATACGCGTTCTCGAAGGATGCATTTCACGAAGCTAACTATTCGAATATATATATCGAGCCATTTACGATGAAAAATAAAATGAAAAAAGAAATATAAACTTTGGTTAATCTAATCTGATAAATCAAATAAAATTCAATCTTAATTTCTGACTAAATGAAACCTGTTAATTTCCAAAACCGAATTTTTGTTTTTTACTTCCGGTATATTCGTAACTGTTGTCAGGATGATAGCTATGAATGTTTGCCCGTTGCATAAAGCATGATATTGATCCTAAAATTACGTTTTTCCCGGTAGGGTATAACCCAGGTAACGTTGCAGCGATTCCGTTAATTTTTAGACTACTTCTTCTCGTTTTACTTAACTTCGTCGACTTTTTTTATTCAATTTTTTTTCTACCTTCCCTTCTTTTTTTTTCTTTTTCTTTTTCTTTTCTTCTCTGGATATTATTAACGCAAACTTTATAGATTAGGATTTTGGGTGTTCGTCGAGATACGAAAAAGTATAGAAATTTTCTTTTTATCGTATTATTTTTCGATCTTTTTTTATACTTTTTTGTTTGTTCTCTCGTTATATTCATTTTTCTCTTGAATCTTTAAAAACTACAACAAGAAAAGGAAACTTATTGAAAAGTTCCTCCTTCGAGGATGCCGAGGTGTAGAAGAATTGAAGAGGATGGTGGTTAGGGTGGAAGAGGAGAGCTGATTAAGCAAAACCTTCTTCGTTTTGTTCATCATATACGGTGACCCTTTTTAAGTAGATCAGAAAAGAAGAGAAAGAAAAAAGGGAAATAAAAGAGATAAAGAATATCAAGAAAAATGAAAGAATACAAAAAAAAAAAAGAAAAAAGGAAAGCTTGTTGTGTGCCTAAGGATTTTGCGTAGATAATAAAAATGATCTTTCTTTTTTTTTCTTTAGAAAAAATAAAAAATAAAAAATCATTAAAACGAAAGATTTCTTATCTTCTCCTACGACAATTTTCATGAAAATTCTTTTTATCATTTTTATCTCTATAAATTAAATAATAAATTATTAAATTTATTGTATCACAATGTTTGATAAATTTTTCGAAGGTTCGACGTGTATAGAAAAATATAATGAATTTTCTATCAGGTTTATTCAAGAATTTTTCTTTTTTTTTCGTCTAATACACAATACTAACATTTTCTTTAGAAATACAAGAGAAATACAATATAGATAAGAAACACACACACACATACACATATATATGTATACATACAGAAAAGTAGAGAAAAATCACGAAGAAAACCACGTAGAAAGAGTGTAAACGTTCGTCTTTTTGATACATTTTTCTTTCCGAAGAGGAAAAAGAAAAGAACAATGCAAGGATTTTTCTCTCTCAGAGAAATGGAAAACACCGGTGGCGTCGTACCTCACTCGCTCAGTCAGTATTTCTCTGCATCGTTCAGTTTGCTTTCTTTTTTTTTTTTTTGGAGAGTAAAAAGAGAAACTCTGTGATATATGGAAAAAAGGGAATGTTAGATATAGAAGATATAAAAAAAAAAGAAAAAAGGAGGGAGAAGAACAGAGAGAGGGGTATCCATTGTTTTAAAGATATATTTTCCATCTATCTTGAATAGCCTTATGGATTAGAAAATATTTGGTGTAATATTCGAATAGAACAAAAGAAATGTAAAAGAAAAAAATGTACATGGATAGATTACACATATATACACATACACACATACCATCAAATAAAAAAGATAATATTTCAAAAAATTCACGTACTTTTCCATATTTCTATGAAAAAAGAAAAGATTATTTTAAACTGTGTAAACATTTCATCGTTGCTAAAGAAGAAGAAAAAAATAAAAATAAAAAGAAGAAGAATATGAAGATGAAATTTCGAGGTTAAGAAAATTTTTCTGATATCTTGCGAGACTCGTCGCAAAATAAAAGCAAAAAAAACATAGGAACGTATAATAAAATAGCCTGGAAACAATCCAGCTATGCTTTTTCTTCTTCCATTTCCATTACGATTGTCCTCCTAACCGTGATTCCGAATTTATGCTTTAGAAATTTTCAACGCTTCCTCTTACAATTCTTGTCTCTTTCTCTTTCTATGTGTTCGAGATCTCTGTATGTGAATGTGTGGGTGTGTTTTCTCTCTCTATAACCCAGGCTCATTTTTTACTTACCAATAATTCCTTGGATTCCACTATATCGATCAACCTAAGAGACGGAATAATAAAGAGCTCGTCCTTGGGATTTCCATATTTCGAGAATGGAGGAGAGCCCGCATCGGACGGAAATAGGACGAAAATTGCACGTTATTTCCTTCGATGACACACTAATTCCCTTTCTCTTTCTCTTCTTTCTGTCGATCCCTTTTTATTCTCATCTATCTCTCTTTTTTTTCATACATTTATAAATCATCGAATACTTATAACATTCAATCTATTTACGTATTTAATTTCTAACGAATTTGAGAGATTATATAATTTGATATTTTTTTTTCTAAATCTAAGGAACAAATAAATAAATAAATAGAGTATTTCTCTTCATTGGTTTCTCCTTGTGATTCTACTTAAATACAATTATTTCTACGTATATCTCTAAGTCTTATTTATTTGCATTTTAAGAGTAAATAAATATCACAACAGCTTTATCAACATCTGAATCAAAAGATTGTTCTCACGCGACATCTTTACGGCGTTCTCTCACGCTCGATTACTTTTTTTTCTACTTCTACTATAACCATTATTACCACTACTATAGTAACAACTGCTATTACTAATACTACTTTAAAAGTACTACTTACTACCTTGAATTTTTTTCCACGTGCTTTCCGACTCGGTAAATTTCAACCTCTCACAGCTTTTTCTCAACTTGTACATGTATGTATATACATGTATACATATATTTATGTATTTATATATACGTGTGTATGTTAGCATGTATGTGCATAACATAAATCGTTTTCACGAAAGACTTAGTACCCTGAATGTATACTTGCCATTGTTGCTAGGATAATAATTATTTCTAGCCCCAAACTATAAAGCACGTTTCTTTGGTAAATTTCTCGAGCTTTGAAAGCACCCATCTACCTACGTTTTCTCTCTCTCTCATCTTTACCTTTTAACTCATTCGCATAAAGAGAGAGAGAGAAATAGAAAGAGAGATTCACTTAATTTATTCATATCGAGTATGGTGCCAGAACAAAGCTCTTTTCTTGTTCGTTCTTACACTTTCTCGAGCATGGCTGAGTTCAATAATTTTCATACGCTTTACTCGAATTGCTTAACTATTATTCGAGAATATTATGTTCATCGAAATCTTCTAAAGTACGACGATATTTATCTAGCACGTAAAATCTATCTACCTTCACGTTAGTCGAACATTAAATCTAAGTTCTAGAAAAAATATAACTTAATGTTAGACTTGTACATAAAATATGTTGAGATCAAATAATGACGACGACGATGACGACGAAAAACTTGAATTAAAAAAAAAAAATCGTCTCTCGTAAAATAAATAAATATCATATTAAAAATTATATCCCGTAGCATTTCGAGCAAAGGGCGATCGTCCGTTAGTCCTTAGGTAATACTTTCCTCTAGTTTTGGTATCTATAGCAAATCCCATTAAAGCATCCGGAGTCCATCTGCAGTTAACTTGGATTTCCGGTCTCCATCTTGGGCAACGACTGGCCGGAAATCCTAAGGGATTTTTAACAGATTCGACATACAACATCCACGCTCGGTAATGGCCGCAGGTAACTAAAAAAATATATCAAGAGAAAATAATAAATTCGCGAGTATATGTATTATGTTCAATTGGAGGAGGGTAAAAACGTTGAATTTTGTTTAAAGTTCAATTTAATTAATATTATTTACTTTTTTCCCTGATAAGCAGCATTATACCGCGACGAAATATACTTTCAAGACTGCATCCAGGTTGTGGTGGTTTACCACCGTTCGGATAAAAATCTGCATGACCTAGAGGATTTGGGAAACCAAAGATTCCACCGTCGGTATGAATAACATCGACAAAAGCTGCATCGCTAGCCGTCAAGTGACCTTCTCTTCCAGTGTTCATATACAACGGATAAGCCGCGTCCAGTCCAGTTATCCTACCAACCTATGAGCGAGCAACAGAAAAAAAGAAACACATGTTTTATCAGAGACTATGAATTACCAAAGTGTCAAAGCTTATTTGCATATAAATCGAATCTCAGACTTTTTCGTAAAGAGATCGATYGATCGATCGATCTATCGATTTTCTATAGTAATTTTCCTTTAAAACCCATGAGATTAACAATAGCATCTAAACTATTCCCAGTTTGATAGATTATTTATTTCAAGTATGTTTACCTACCAAACGTGGGGCCAAAGCTTTGCCCATGAATCCAGCTATCTCGGCACCCAAACTGAATCCAATAACATGAATATTTGATAGCGAAACAGCTTTCTGTGCGTCCAACCAACTGATCATACGTGCCACATGGGCACCGACTAATCTCGTATTTTCCACGGCCGTGTGATACCACGGTAACGTCGACAGTCTGACCCAATTGACCAAAATGACGTTGTAATCGGCACGTTTCAGATAAACTTAAGAAAGAAAAATAACATGAAATACAACAAACAAATTTACAAACGTCAGGATGACTTAGTTGTCTTGTCCGATCGTATGTTACGGTTAACCAAAATCGTGCCAAACTTTTTCGGGCTACCATTCGTCATTCTCCCCCTTTTTCTAGACGAGAGATTCCACGAAAAGCAGCTTAAACAACAGTACCGTTCTCACTCTTCTAACTACTCTTCTACCAGTTACTAATGGACCAAGCCAAGTTTCACCATCGACTCTTTTGCTACGACTAACTGGGCCAAATCCTTTATGACTTTCAAAGAAATGAAGTATTCAAATGACAGCCACTTGGCTGTCCTCGCTAGACCTTCTTGTTTCTCGTACCTCAACTATTGCACATATACTATATCATACACATTCTCCTATGCACCTACAACTATATTTCCAAACTTTGAGGTATTTTCTAATTCGTAAATTAAATTATAAAAAAAAAAATATTTATTTTGTAACACACGAAGATACAAAATAACATTGACTTTAATAATTAGATAAATTATATTATAATTTATCTATAATTAGATATGAAATATGTAATTACTAATTAATTTCTAAATAAAATTTTAAAAAGTCATACCATCTCTAACGGCATTGGCACTTTCGCCTGATGCACTCTCGCTGTATCCGTGAATGTAAACGATTGTAGGATTCCTTTTATCAAAGTTACTCCTTTGTAAGGATTGTGGATTCAATACACTCAACACATTGCCCACTCGAGGATTATGTCTTTGAAATATATAAAGAGAAAGAAGATAGTGATCGTTTGAATTTCGTTTAAAGCTAATTTTCAAAAAGTATTTTAATTATCGGGAGTGGTAGGAAACCGCGAGCAAAGCAATATATCCCTTTACGTAATTCAAAGGGTAAAATCGAACTGACGTTCCAAATTTCTAATTTATTACCAACATTACGCTTAAACATGCAGAAATATACTGAGATAGAAATGTAATGTTAAATTTGAAAGGTTTACTCCTATGCGAATGAAAACGTCGTTCCCAAGATAGAAATTTCATCGAGAGTACGATCTTTGAACGTAAATGAAAGGACTCAGGAGACATAGGAGACGATGAATTTAAATTCGCAATGGGAATTATGAGATAGACGCAAAACTCACTCGACTTTACTCGACACAGTAAATAAACGTGTGTGGTGTGCAGGTTGACTAGTATCGAACGTATTGCCGTCCTTTAACGTGACACGATAACATAACGTCGAGTTATGTGTTATATGTATATATATGTATATAACTAATACATTTATTACATCTATGAAACTACAAAATAAAATTATCGAATAAAATGAAAAAAAGGACCGTATAAATATCATATAATATAATATATATAATATTATATAGATAATAAAATGATCTAATAAAATAGAAAAAAGCTATATATATATTATATTATTATTACGTATATACATATATATACGTAAACGTAAAACAAAGTTACCTAGTGAATAGTAGATACTCGACATCTCGATCGAGATCGATCGGACAGCACAGAGGACAGGTGCCAGTTGGAAAGAGCATCGTGTACAGAATACCGGTATCTGTGGAGAATAAATAAAAAAATAAAACAAACAAAAAAAGAGAAGAAAAATAATAATAATCAAAAGAAAACAAGATAAGAGTAAGGGAACGTCATTAGAACGGCGCCACTCGGCCGTGGTTATTCCACGTGGTCTTCGTCATTGAACCTGACAGTGGTCACGTGATGTCGCGTGCACCCACGCCAGTACCGATCGCAAACACCCCTTCCCCCCTATCTCTAACTCCCCCCCCCTGTTAGCTTATCTTTTCTCTTTTTTCTTTCTCATTTTGCGATATCACAAGCAAGAATCCTTCGATGAGAAATACATAATAATCATCATAGTCAATCTAATTGTCACATGTTTTTCTATCATCGTAATCGTCTTCGTCATCGTCATTGTCTTAGTCTTATGTTAGCCGTCGTCATCGATAAGAGTCAATCAATTAATCTTACTCGTGAATTTACTTTCCACTTATATTAAATTCCTCAAGTTATTCGAAGCATGACGTTGCATGTCGATTTAAACCAAGTGAGCTACAAATGCGAGCTACAAATGTGAAAGATCGGATGAAAGTCGACCTAATAACACTATAGCATGAACTAAATGATAATTATGACGGTATTTGAACAATTATTCTAAATATAAGTATATCACAAAATTACAGTATATACGGTTATCCACCGAAATATCAAAAATAAAAAAAAGCGTGAAAAATGGAACCTTTTTTTTTAACTAATGGTTAAATATTATTATAAAATCAATGATTAGGACAAACTTCTTAGAAATTGTTACGATCGCCTAACTTTTTCCGGTTATTAACGAAATGTAGAAATGGTCAAAGCTATGAAATATTACGAGACATTTTATGATTTCTACGATTTCTTGTAAAATTTAACCTAATTGTGATTACCGTTAATAATAAAAGAAAAGAGAAAGTGAAATTTGGAGATTAAATAACATTCAATATATATATATATATATTTATTATCTGAGTTTTTTTCACGAAATATTATTAATATATAATATAAGTAAAAATAAGAACAATATGGGATCTTTAATGCTTAATTAAAAAGTTATAACATAAGTATGATTACGGACAGGTGTCTCGTTGACATTGCATAAGAACACAAATTACAGTCTGTTTTAGACTTCCTATTAAGTGAATTGCAACCCAAATTGATAAAAGATATTTCGTTATTGTTTCGTCAACATTTATGAATCTTGTTATCTTATTATTGAATGCTTGTTCAAAAGATTATGCGGTACCAGTACGGTTATGGTTAAATGACCTTTACCCTTTTTGATGAATAGGTCAAAGAGGAACAATTCTTTGGCTCTGTAAGATCCCCAGATATCACGCCAATGGATTTTTACCTTCGAATAAAACAACGAAATAAAAAGTTTATACAAAAGTTAATACAAATGAGAAATGAATGCAAATGATTCGTGATGTATTTGTTGCAATTATGAAAAAATAAAGAAGAAATTATTAATGCAATTCTATTCTTCGTAAATGCAAGTCCTGCATTAAAATAATAATTTTAAATTAACGACAGATTCCTACGTGGTATGAAATTAAAAAGTAAATAATTTTTTGTTCCTTTCGTATTTTTCAACAAAGCATTCGAAAGCCGAATGATTTTTTTTTCCATATGATTTTTTTCTTACTTTTTCTTATAGAATAGGTTAGTAAAATTTCTTAGAAAAAAATAAACACTAAATTGAGATTAGAGAAGTTGATCTACTTAGAAAAAAAAAAAAATAAATCATGTTACGAGAAAAAGAGTCTATAGTATTTTTTTTTTTTTCTATTAACTTTCCTGACATACACTCTTGCTTTATAGAATATCTGATTGAAAGTTACATTATTTTATATTCGAGACTATAATCTATTTACGCGTTCATCGTCGGCACAGTGATCTCTTTTCATAATATTTCTCATGATGTTACGTTCACAGTTTAATTTTTATTTTATTCGCCATACGTAATATATATGATACTCGTTTAGTTAAATTATTTTAATGATCTACGAAAAAAACAGTATACGAGAATAACTCGAGGTATTAATTAACGAGAGAGACTACTAACTAACTATTACGCTCATTTATCCACGTGTGTAATATATTTATTATAATTATTTAACAGTTAGAAAAATAATGAATAATTACATATTTTATTTATATCCTAATGAAATTAGTGATTGTATTTATTCTGCATCGTGCAAAGAATTAATATAATATAACAAAACATGTGGTCATTCATGAGTGAAGTCAATTGCACACACACACGCACACACAAGAACGATTCATATAAACCGTGAATATAATATACTTGTAAAACCCCATAGATTATAATGAATTACCTCTATTGATAGATATCACACGACATAGAAGAGAAACGAGTACATTCGGAAACATTTTTGTTAATAAACTAAAAAAAGAAGAAAAATAAACAATGAAATTTGAAGATTACAAAAAGAGATTTTATAACACGATACGATCTTGCCTTGGAAGATCTCCGACGTAAACTGAATCATTCAGTTTGAGAACACGAATCATACGCTAGATTTAAGAGAGAAAGGTGCTGCTTTTCAATGGTCTACATTGAACGTAACGTGTTTTCCTACGTTGCTATCACCAACAATTATGGTAGTGTGTTTGTTTTAAATTAAAAAAAAAGAGAAAATAAAAACAATTAATTAATGATAAACCACGAACAAAATATCTTGAAATCGTTCGTTATCTCTTGTTCGAAACTCGAAATGTTTTTCGTTTACACCTGTAACAGTTGAAATGAATTTTTTGTATTTTTTTTCCTCCTGACGATGAGTTTTATAATGGAATGCTTCAGTTTCTCTCTATCTCTCTCTTTCTTTCTCTCTCATGAACGAGCATCATTCAGTTATCAGCTGGTCCTCGAAACTAGACGAGACGAGAAAATCGATTTACGAATTCCTACCTCTACCCCTCTTCTTTCCTCTTGACGACTAAACCGTTGCTTATAACGAAATGAATACTACGATACCAACGAAAATTTGACCATCCTGCAAGCTAGTCCGATATATTCCTACTACGTATGTATGTATCATCCATCCATCATCGACATCGAGTGGAAATCAGACAATTTCCATATGGAAATCCCATTAACTGCTCGATCGACGTTTGCTTGAATGCTATTGACTATTATTTCTTTTTTTTCTTTTCTTTTGTAGTATTTTTAAATAACCGATTCCTATTTAAAATTTATAAAACCTTTTATTATAAATAATCGATGAAAGATAAACATATATGTGCCCATAATTATGAAAGTGATCTAAGTCAAAATTAATAAAAAATGAGTTTATCAGTTATTACGCACTACATTATTATAAACTAAATAAATTCAATGTTATTTTCACGATATTATCAAAAATGAATCGTTAGATAATGTTTGTTATTTTAATATTGTACAGAATTCATATAGTGTTTAAGTATAAATCTTTAAATATCTCGAAACAAGAGATATATGACTTAGACCACTTTTATAATTATGGGGACATATATACACAGAAAATAAAATTAAATAGGAATAAAAATTAAAAGGGAATAATCTATTTTTAATATAACACAAGTTTATAATTTTTCGGCATCTTACAATAATTTAAAAAGAATCCAATAATAATTATTTACGATATTTAATTAAATAAATATGACGATCGATTAAGCGTATAATAAATAAATCAAATAATTAAAATATGAAAGAAAGTAATAATAATAACATATAATATCGATCTTTTTTAAAAGCAATCAATTGAAAACGATTTTTTTTTCCTTCTAGACTTCTAGAGCCCCCCCCCCCTATCTTTCCTTTCTTTCTCTCCAAATATAAAATTCGTCTATATTAGTGGAAATAATTGTTATGGACGTAAAAAGCCTTTCAAGTTTTCTCTCTCTCTCTCTCTCTTTTTGCAATGGTTTGATTGGAAATAACGATTCCTATAATTAAACTCTAGTGTGTCAACGATGAAGGCGTACTACCCACGAAGAAACGAACGGAAGGACGAATGAACGAACGAATGAACAAACGATCGAAACGTTCAATCGCTTCGTACCTTCGTAAAACGCCCACCAGAATAATTAGCTTAACAATATCGAACGATTCGAATCCACTTTAGTCCCGTAATCGGCCTACCATTCTTCCACGATTCCTTCTTATTTGAGGGATTGCTTTCTTCGGCCAATTATTTACCGTCGAGTTTCAAACGATCAATCAATCTATTCTATTTCTTCTATTTCGTAATAATAATTCTCTTTTTTTTTTTTTAATTTTATTTTAAATACATAATACTATTTACATATCGAATATCGAAATTTCTTTTCTTTTCTGGTTTTTTGGCTTCTTATATTTTTTTATCGTTGTTGTTGTTTTAATCGAGGACAGGAGTACAAACGATTAATAAGAAATTCTAAAATAAATTTTTATAATAAAATAAATTTTTTTCCTTCTTTTCTTTTTGTTTTTGTATATTTTTCTTTTTTTTACGAGAAAATAAATATAAAAAGAAATGTGAAAATAATAAATGTTACGAATTAAAACGATGCTTCCAAATAGACAGCTTTCGATTCGATCTACCAACGTCTAACATCATAGTCTCGTTTCATAATAGTTGCACGCGCTATTTTTATGCGAGTCGTACTACTAGGAATCGATCGATATAATTCACCTCTTCCTTTTTGCAAGTAACTAACCTAAGTGTCTAAGGCAACGACGAACTACTGCTCGATTACCGTGACAAAGAGAAAAACTAAGAGAAATTATAACTGAGAAGGAAAGATAGATATAATAGATAGATAGATAGATAGAAAGAGAGAAAAATAAAGAGTTGTGAGAGTGAAATGATTCATACTTTAAAAAAAAAACTGCAATCATTTTCTGTTTACGACGAGAACTCAGATAAAATTCAATAAAAATTCAATCCACCTCCACTGATTTTTCCTCTTCGATCGTCAAACTATGATAACAAATAACTTTTACGAAGAAATATTGTATATATATATATATATATATATATATGTATATATGTGTATGTGCGTGGAAAGGGAGGTTAAGTGGAAGAAAAAAAAGTTAAAATCAAAGTATCTTTTTCCGACAAGATCTTCAATTCCTCTTCTTTATTTTATTTTATTTTTTTCTTTCGCGAAAAGCATTGCAAGATTTTTCACTCAATCGAATTCAAAGATTTTTCTCGGCTACTTAGACGATTCGAGAAGGTTCTAAAGCATACCTCATAACTTGAAATTCTATTACATCAAAGCTCTCTCTCTCTCTCTCTCTCTTTCATCTTTATTTTCTTTTTATTACTCCCTTATATTTTTTCCGGAAAAAAGCGACGTATCATCGTTCGGTCAAGATTTTTCGTGAAAAATAATCTTATATTATCTTTTCTAAGAAAAATATAGAAAAAAAAGAAAACACACTTAGATAAAAAGAAATGGTAAAGAATGAAATATAGAAAGAAATATAAACAAAAATGGATTTTGTCCTCGAGAGTCGAGTCGAATAAGTCCCGGAAGCTTACGGTGCTTAAGCGAAAGCTTTCCTTCGAATCCTGGGAAAAAGGGGGAAAGAACAATTTTGATGGGAATAAAAGAGATGATGTAAAATTCCGAAATAGAGAACAAAAGTAAAGAAAATTCGTTGAGGACGAATATTCTGACCGGTCCAGTTAAAAGAAAGGAGGAGAGTCGAGCGTCAACATGAAAAGTCACCTCGGTTGTACGACGCGTTACCTAGTAGTGGGGATATTTTGCGCATCATCCCCTAATATCTGGAGACCACCCTGACCTAGATAGATAAATAGATAGATAGACAGAGGGAGAGAGAGAGGGAGAGAAAGAGAGAGAGAGAAAGAGATGATGTATTATCTTGTACACACACGACAAATTTGCTTTAAATTTTTACTTGACTTCTTTTTACTTTTCTAACCCCTTCACCAACCATGTATCATCTAAAAAGAAAGAGAAACAAAAAGAAAAAACAAAAAAATTATTTATTCCATTTGAATCGTGACTATTGTCCTTTTTTCTTTTTGTTACAGGATAAATTGTTAACGAAGTTGGAAGAAAACGAACCTGAATTGGCCTCTTCGCAGGAGGACGAAGTAAGTGTTACTTTGTTTAAGAGAATCTTACTTGATTAAAAAATTAAATAACGCGTCAAAAGTTCTTTCTTTTATTCTTTTTTCGCTTACAATAAAATACTATAAAAAAGAAAAAATCAAATTAAATTTTGTTATCTATAGATATGAATTATATATATATATGTCTATATATAAAAACGGGTTTAATATTTTATCATTTACAATCGTAATATATAAATCTGGCCAATTATACAATCTTTTTGAAATAAAAAAAAGAAAAACAGAAAAAAAAACAAAGAAAAGAGGGATAGTTTGGATAACTAGAGTGGAAGGAATTTGCTGGATGTGATCGGAGAGATTGTGGTATTGTACAATCGAGAAAAAAAGAGAGAGAGAAATAAAGAGGAAAAGAAAGATAAAATGTAAATCCAATTAACACAACTAAGGAGGTTGTCCACAACGAAAGATTTGACGAAGGGCTTCTTTCATTGCCCTCCCATAGCCATTTTCTATTGAAACCTTCTCTTTCGAAGCTTCCTTAAGATAACTTTATTAGGTCATCCCTAGCACGACGGAAGACAAGACGTAATCAAGCCTAATTCGTAATTTTACCAAGAAAGGGAATCGACGATTGCCGAGAAAATTAGATTTCTCCGGATTTTCTTTCTATTTTTTTTTTTCTTTTTCTTCTTTTTTTTCTTCCTCTTTTATTTCGATAAAGAAAGAGAAATTTTTTTTTTATTTTCTGATATTTCTGTCTTTTTCCATCGATATTTAAAGAGAAGAAAAAAAAAAGAAAAATAATGATCAAAAACAGTTAAGACGATATTTTTGTATTATATTACAACGTGGAATTTATTTTAGCATCAAAAAAGAAAATTTGAATTTATACGGAGAAAATATTTTTAATGCCGAAAAAATCTCTCATATTTTAATTTTATTTTAAGGATCTTCTTTTTTGTTTTTTTTTTAGAATATTATTTATCTTATCATCGAAAAGTTGTACCATTTTTATTCCTATCATATATACATATATATAAATAGAATGTTTGTGATAATAAAAATAAACGAATGGAACCACACACAGAAAAACTGATTGAATATTTTTTTGAAAGACGTGCGCCAGCCCGGAAAAGATGTTTCCGATTGAATTGATAGTTCAGTGGTTTGCAAAACTCGATTAACCTGCCGATGAACAAGACTGACTGATGGTGAAACAGAGAAGAAGACAACACGTAGACCCTTCGATTTCTGACACGTCAGATGGTCCCTTCGAACCTTCCCTTACCTATTAATATTCCGATTAAAGCGAAGCCTAATTTGCTTACGTCAATTACGAATAATCAAACGTCGATCAAATGATAGATCGAGTTAAAACCGATCGACGTTGTATCCTTCGTCAATAGTTAGTGATAATCTATTGCATTTCCACTAACTTTTATCAAACCTGTGTTCTATTTTCATTTATATTTCCAAATTCTACACACACTTTTGTGTTTTTTTATATCCATGTTCCACTATATACTCTTTAGAATTTTTCTTCTTTTTTTTATAATAAAATTAATTCAAATATAATATCAAAGAAACTTTTACCAAATAATTAACGTTCCGGTTTTTAATCCAATTTAAAAAATAGAAAAAGATAAAGAAGTATTTAAAAAAACAAATTTTAAAGAGAAATTATATTCGCATTGAAAGTTATATATATATATATATATATATGTGTGTGTNTATATATATATATATATATATATATATATATATATGCATTGTGTATGTAATAATGACGACGTAACAAAAAAAAACAAACAAAAAAAAAACGGAAATGATCTTGGAATTCGCGTAACTATCGTTCAAATTTATCTACTAACATAAAGGAAATCAATCTTCTACGTGTAATGTTACATAACTTTGCTTCATAATTTTATTCGAAAATATAAATAAATACACATCCACACACACAGAGATATTAAAACGTTGATCGTTAAGAGAAGTAACAAGCGCGAACTTTTCGTGCAACCAATTTTGACGGTGATGAATGATTGCGAACAAAACATAAAGAGAGAGAGAGAGAGGAAGAGAGGGAAAGAGTGACAAAGAATTATCAAATGAAAAAAAGGAAGAGAGAGAGAGAGAAAGGGAGAGAGAGAGAGAAAGAGAGGGAAAGAGTGACAAAGAATTATCAAATGAAAAAAAGGAAGAGAGAGTGAGAGAACGCATAAACATTTCTAAGAAGACAACAAAAGCTGTGCAATCGAGCATATGAATAATTATATAGTAGTAAAATTATTCAACGATTAAAGCTGCGTGTTGGTCGTATGTGTTATGATTCCATGTCCGTTCCATTATATTCACTTGATGTTTTCTTTCTGTTCCACCGTCAATTCTATTATATAGAAAATATGCTACGAAGAGTTAATAATAATAATAAAAAAAAAGAAAGAAGAGACAAAAATTATACAATAACAATTAACACGTTAACGTTGTCAAAGGTATTTATAAAGCCAACAAGTTAAACCGATTGGACAGTCTCTTCTGGTGTACTCTGAAAGAAACATGAAGAAACTCGCGTTAATAATTCCTATACTTTTCGTGATACTTCAATTGGCGGTAAGTATATTGCTTTTAAATAGTATATTAATATAAATTAAATCGAAAAACAATTGAAATTGATTTCTTTTAATTTTTTATTCCCTTTAGACGAGCCAAGACAACGATGACAGTGATTTCGACGATGATTCGGTGAATGAATTTTCGGGTCCTCCAAGAGGAAGAAAACATAGACATTGTTTTGGTCATCCTCCTCCTCCTCCAGGAGGTAGACCGCCTGGTCCACCATCTGGAAACCCGCCTGAAAATGACAATACTAACACCAATAGCAGTCAAGTTGGAACAATGAAGAGATCGGTTAATCGTAGAGATGCACAAGGGGGTGATATGGGTGAACAGGGAGGTATGGGAGGTGATATGCAGGGTAGTATGAGTGGTGGCATGGGGGGTGGCATGGGAGGTGGTATGGGAGGTGGTATGGGAGGTGGTATGGGAGGTGGTATGGGAAGTGGTATGGGAGGTGGTGGACAAGGTCGAGGTCCACCAAACAGAAACAGTAAACGAAATGTAAGAGAAGCTCAAATTTATCGATTTGGAGATGAACTTGGATCAATTAAGAGATCGGTTAATCGTAGAAATGCACAAAGGGGTATTGGTGCACATGGAGGTATGGGAGGTGGTATGCATGCTGGTATAGGAGCTAGTATGGGAGGTGGTTTGGGAGGTGGTATGGGAGGTAGTATGGAAGGTGGTATGGAAGCAGGGATGGAAGCTGGTATGGAAGGTGGTATGGGAGGTGGTGGACAAAGTGGGGATCAACCAAACAAAAATAGAAAACGACATGTAAGAGAAGCTCGAATTTATCGTACTGGACACAGTTCTAGGAAAAGAAGTACTACACAAACAACATTAACGGGTAAGGTTTCATGCGATACCATGGATTTTTGATTGAAAATAATTTTAAATTCAACTTTTCGAACTCATATATGCATGTCAAATACTGCTCTATTATAATATTTTTTTGTATTTTACCTTTTAGGAACGGGTACGTCTGCAGTATTGGAATGAAAGGGATTCATCGACATCAAATTTATAATATTAAATATAAAATAGTTTTTAGTACTGTAGAAAATATTCATAAAGTTATTTTGTTAATCATAAAAAGAGGAAATAGAGGTCACACGAATAAAGAATATTTTACTGCAATCAAAACTCGTCCATTATTATTTTCTCGTTTCTTTTCTATTCCTCGTTTCTCTCTCCTATTCTAAATAACTTGATAAAGATAGAAATAAATAAAAAAGAATATAATACCAATTTATTTTTCAATTGCAGTGCGTAATATGCGTGAACGCGAGAGCTACGATGCAAACGGCACCGTGCGGACACCGTGTAGTTTGCAGGTAAATTTATGCGATTGCAAAGAAAAGTAATAAAAAAAATTGAATAAAAAAATTGGTTATTTATAAAATCGTTTACGTAAGAAGAAAAAAAAATCATCTTCCCTTGCAGACGTTGCTTCGTCAAAACGATCCAGATGGCTGTGTCGCAACGTCTCTTACCGTTGAGATGTGTCATATGCAGAGCAAAAATTCTTCGATTGAAGCAAACTCTTATTCCACGAGATGTAAGTTCAATTTATTTATTCATTTATTTATTTATTTTACAAAAAGAAAAAAGTTACTTCCCCATTCGTACAGAACGATGACGTCAAACGGAATTTAAAAAAATTATTGTAAAGTACATAATTATTTATAAAGTTACGTTTAACCTTGTCATTCTTTTAAATGAATAATTGAAAAGTTAACATTAATTTATGATTATAATTTCTCTCGCGAAATATAATTCATTATTATAAAACAAAAGAGAACAATTATAATTCTAATGTCCACGTTCGATCGATTTCCTCTTTTGTATTATCTTTCATTAAATTTACTTCAGCAACTATGAATTTCAAACCTATGTAACGTACAAAGGAGGGATAGATACTATAGTATACGTGTATGAAACGCAATATTCAAGCTCGTCAAACCGTTCGAGGGAGCGTAAAATCACGTGTAATTGGAACCGATTCAGTGAGCTTTTCGTCACCTCTTGACCAATTTCCAAAGGGCCGTGTATGTAGGACCGAGATGCACGTTTATGTAAAGAAAAAGAAAAAAGAAACAAAAAATCGTTTCATTTCATCGAAAGTTGCTTTCAATTTGTCGCGTTAAAACATCTCTTTACTGTACATTAAAATACGTAAAGTAGGCCAAAAGAAATATTTATTTCTAAATATAAATAAATTTAGAAAAAGATTTCATTAAAAGAAACCTTTATTTTTTTTTACTATGATTAAATTGTTCGGTAAAATTTTTACAAATGATTTCATTCAAAGAAAAAGTTTTTTTTAACATTTCAAAGTATATCATCGTTCGTATAGCTGATTCGATTCGCAAGTTTTTTTTCATTAAAATTGATCACAGTAATCAGATTATTATTTTTTCGGATTTATATTAACGAGAAAAAAAAGAGAGAGAAAAAGAGAGAGAGAGAGAGTGGGAGAGCACATCCAAGAGATTTTGGATGGTTCCAGGTCACGCACAGTTTGTTTGCGTGGGCGTACATCCCACCCATCGGAAAACATATTTTCCCTCTTAAATGAAATTCCGAGCATCGTCGAGCTACGAGAAGAGTACTTGTGTTCTCGTAAATCTGTATAATAATTATTAAAGGATGCGTTAAATTCAGCCATGCGTTTAAAAGAAATAAAAAAAAATGAAGTTTGTCTTAAAACTTAACGAAACAAATCCGTAATCCCCGTGTGTTTAATTTTATGATCAAATTCTAGTATTCTGGAATAAATCTAAAACATTTCTAAGAAAATCTAGATTTATGTTAAAAAATATATATATTATTCTTTGATCCATCCAAGTTTTTTTTATCATTAATCAAACTTTATAATTACGTATTATTATAGTACTCGATGTCTGGAAAATCATGGGTCTTACCTCAAAGTGCATCGGAGTATAACATGGGAATCGGTGTAAGCGTTGGAGTTTCTGGACCAGGAGGAAGATGGGGTACAGGAAGTGTACCAGCTTCTGCTTCTCTTTATTCTATGGCCAGTGGTTCGTCATCCATTTCCGGTTCGTTTAAATATTCTCACTTAAATTGTTAATCCTTGTAAACATGAATATAATGTAATATCATTTACCTTAATCTTCAAAAATTTCAAATAAAAAAAATATATATATATTTCTAATTTCGATTTTATTTTTACTTTTTCCATTATAGGAGTGTCTTCCGTGTCTTCGGCTACGTCGTCGTCTGCTAGTAGTACCGGAAGTACCGGTTCCACCTTAGGTAAACCAACGAGAGTTAGACAACCAAGCGGTGCGACACTCAGACGTTCTCAAACTCAATCGATGAAATTACGTATTCAAGTTAGTTGTTCGGCGAACGTTTAAATTTATTACAATTTTATTGTATTTTATTATTTATTATTAATATCATTTGTAATAATTGATTTTACTCGTTTAACAGGAATACCAGGATCCAATTCAGCAAGTCGCTGATGAAGAAGACATTATGAGAGAAAATCGTAGATTACCGCCTATAAAAGAATTTCAAAGAGATTATCGTGCTGGAAAGGCCTCAACTAGAATACGGTAAATCTTATATAAAATAAATGTTATAAATTAATACAATATATAAAATAAGAAGGAGAACAAAAAATAATTTCTAAACAAAAGTATTCGATACGAAAACGTAATTTTATTTTATTATTTTACGATAGATAAAAATAATTCGTTAAAATTTTAATAAAAATATATGCAATATAAATTGATAATAATAAAAAACAAAAAAGACAAACTAATATGACAACGAATTAAACAACAACAACAACATTGTAGATGTGCTCAGAAGATTGTGACGCAATTGGAAACAACACCGAGTACAAGAATGACGTCGAACAACGTTCAGACAACGGTGACAACAACGACCACGTCGTCATCTTCGTCGTCGTCGTCCTCGTCATCGTCGTCGTCATCGTCGTCGTCATCGACGAACGGTACAAACGTTACAACGAACGTTACGAACGGTACAACAAACGTTACGAACGGACGTTCGACGTCGAAAAGGCCACCCGTACAACCGAAAATTTCGGTTGTACAGGAGATACAAAAATTGAAGAAAGAAAAGGAACGAGAAAAGGAAAGGGAAAAAGCGGAAAAAGCAAGGCAAAAGGAGGAAGAAAAAGCTGAGAAGAATAGGCAAAAGGAAGCCAAAAAATTAGCCAAGGAAGAAAAGAAACGTGCGAAAAAGGAAGCAAAAGCGAGACGGAAGGAAGCCGAGGAAGCCCTTTTGAGGGACGACAAGTAGAATCGAGATCTTTAGAATTAGATAATCGATGATTAAGATAGTTGGACTCGTGAAATTGAGTCAAGTGTGAAAAGGACTATTCAAGGAATTGGAGCATTGTACCTGATGAGTCACAGATTGATCCTGATTTTTTTATATATTGACATTTATAAAAATGAGATTGATAATAAAAGATAGAAATATTTAATAAAAAATCGGATGTTAATCGTTAACAACAAAATTATTATTATTATTATTATTATTATTATTATTATTATTATTATTATTATTATTATTATCGAAATTGAAGAAAAATGTAAATGAATATGATGTAAAATGAAAGAGAAAAAAGGAAAGGAATGTAAAAAAAGGATACGTCGAGGATTCTGTGACTCAGCTCGAACAGATGAATATGGGATGATGTTAAATGTGTCGAAATAGTTGTGTGCTGTCGAAAAGTTGATGCATGCATGCTGGTTACACACTGGAGAAGTTAAAAATGTAAGAGACAACAATTAGTAAAACTTATAAGAAAGAAAAAAGAAAGAAAGAAAAAAAACTAAGAAAAATAAAAAATAACAAGAATCTAGCAGCGGCCAAAAAACTTAGTAATCTGTCATATCGAGTTAATTGCGGACTAATTAATATCATTATAAAAAGTTTGAACACTTAGTACGCCGTATACATAAACATATATACATATATATACATAGGACATCATCGTCATTACATTTTTTTGTTCTTTTTTCCCTTTTCGAATTCGTTTCGTGATTAATTACAATCTCCACGATATATCAATCAAAATTAAATTTTGATCGATCCTCTAGATCATCGTATTGATTATTAACATTTCATCTTATAAGTTATTAATTTGTTCACTTTTTTCTTTTGTCATTGTTTTAACGTCTCTCCGTTAAATGTAAATACGTTCGAAGAAAAAACCGAGAAAATGAAAAACAGATAAAATGACTTGTGCGACGGATAGCCTAAGAGATATTATTATTATTATCAATTATAATTATTATAAAAAATGATATGAAAAAAGGGTATACCTTATAATATATATAGTATATATAAACATAGTATACACATAAGAACAAAAAAAAATAGATCTTCATGATTTGGTAGTTCAAAAAATCTCTTTCTCCAAAATCGATTTGATCTTTCTTGTATTTTTATTTGTTTTTATTTTTCCTTCTTTCTTTCTCTCTTTTTCAATATAATTAAAATAAAAGAAATATTATTTAGAGAAAGGTAAAGAAAAAATAAAATACAATCTTAAAGATTATTAAACTCATCAATCATTAAACGGTATACGATTTGTGATCTCGTTAAAATGAATCTACAATGTTCTATTATTATTATATATATTATGACATCATTATTATTATTGTTATTCTAACAATGATAATAGTAATTATTGTTATTATTATTATTATTATTATTATTATTATTATTATTATTATTATTATTATTATTATTATTATTATTATTATTATTATTATTAT